GACACTTATTTCCTCATTTCGCGGGCCATAGCGGTGGAACGAGCGTCTGTTAATTGCATATGGGAGTTGCGCTCGCGAACACGACACACCTAAACCTCATCCCCCGGCGCTGGCTGGCAAGAAAACCGCAAAGCATTCTAAATTAATGCTTTTCGTTAACGCGTGGCCGCCGGCCCCTGACATGGATGCAATTATAACCGTTCTGTCGTGGAATGTGACCGTCCTTTCGCCACCCTCGAACTGGAAATTCGTACACAGGGGTGGGGGGATGACGCTTCTGTCTTCGAACTCAAAAACCAGGGAAATTTTTAAAGAGCCAGCTTTTGACTCGGTTTCCTGCTCTACACAGCGAGACTTAGTCTTAGTCGTCAACGATTTCAAAAATAACAAATAACTGTGCTTCCTTTGCTTTTTTTCTAAAGACACAAAATATGCGCACTGCAAGTTATAACATCGTAACACCAGGTTTTTTTCGTCCTGTTAGACGTAATATAGTGTTTCGTCTCAATTATTATTTATTACGTATTATTAATATATACCATGCCTTCAACATATAGTACAATGTAACAAATAAATAAACAGTCTAAATGATAAATGAAATTGAACAATGTTCAAAATAGACCTGTTTACGATGTATATTATATATTATTATTATATTATACTGTTTTAATTATAATTACATGTTATGTGTACATGCTATGTATTTTTTATGTTATAGACTATGTATTGTCATCGCTAATGACTACACGTATGGTTGATACGACCTAAAATCAATGAATAATAGCAACAATAAGTTCAAGTCAATGAAACAACAAATCACTTCTCCAAATATGCCGTAAATCCATAGTCAAATATTCGTAACAGTAATCTTTTGCACTTTTAAATATGAAGTCTGTACTTACTTTTAAGGGCCGAGGAAATAACAGTTGATTCGAGTTGATAGAATTTAGTTCATTAAATTAGCAAACAGACAAAACCAAACAAACATATCAAAAATTGACAAAGCAGTCGCATATTGAAAGTTGCGCAGCTAGCGTAAAAAAAAAAAAAAAAAAAAAAAAAGAAAGTAACAAGGGAATATACCGAAGCATCAATCATTGAATTGAAATATAATGTAATTTTAAAACGTATTTGACACGTACTTTTTTTTTTCATCGATAAACGTCCATTTTGAAGGGATGAAAAAGTTGTGAAATCTACTTTAACGAGATAGAATGACTGTATGAACTCATAGAATTAATGTTCCCGTATTGTCCGTATGATATTCTGACTGTCAGTTTCTCAACTCTTTTTATTATCATCTTCCTCTTTCGTTCAACAAGTTCAATTATTGGAACTATCTGATCGTCGCTACAAACCCTTCAGTTACGTATAATTCTCATCCGCTCCCAATTTTTCCAATTTAATTTGTCTCTTAGCGACAAATTGACACAGTGATAAAATTTAATATACAAACTCTTTTGCTTCCTTTCATTCCTAGTTTCTTCGCTTAAATTAAATATTTGTTAAAGTGAAATAATTTGATTAACCCGTTGAAATCCGTAATCATGTTTATTGCGTTGCCATCGTTAAACACGATGTTGCTGACTGTAGCTGGATTCTACGTGTACAATTTATCACTATATATAAAGGTAGAAGTTATATCGTGCAAATTTATAAATATCTATATAGCAAAGTGACAAAGTAGAAATAAGTGTTACTTTCTAATAGAGTTTCTTAAAATTTAGTGAGCCCTCAAAGTGTTAATTAGAACGTAAAAGAGGTAAAAGCTCGAGACACTTCAAGTAAATAACAGACATTCGATTCGAAAATAAAGTCGTTTGAATTTAATTCACTCAAATAAGGCACAAGGAGAAAGGAATTCGATTGGAGAAACGTCACTTTATTATCTTTACGTACGATTCCATGGGTCCTCCTCAGCTTTGCCTACAATTTTCGGGAACGATTAGGTTTATTGCTCAATAAAATCGTCAATCCCGATAAATTCGAGGGGACAATTCTTGACGTGAACGTCGCAGTAAAGAGGCCCCGTCGACGAGCTATTGCTCGTATACGATCTGAAATTAGCGGCGATTAAGTGCCATTCACGTAGATCAATATCAATACCTACTTACCCGACCAACAATTTTAATATCTTCGCTATCACTCCGTCCCTCTGGCTCACATACTCCATCGCTTGACAGATATTCTTCAGCAGGCACGATCTTCCATTAAATCCTTGGCTGAAACATACGCCTTGAATTGGAACGAGCTATAGGACAGAATTTCGAAAAAAGTTGCATCAATGGAACAGACGATTTGTCCATTTACACGTGAATGAAAGAATTTATACAGAGTGGATTTAATGACTAGGCTGAATTCTGTTCTATTTGAAGATAGAGAAGAATTCTACAGAAGAATTTTGTAATGCAACACGACGTCCCGAAAAATTAATATTTTAAAAATTGATACACTTCAAGTTTTACACGCGATGCTAAGATCGTGAAATTTCGTTATTTGAAATTCGTTCATTATGTAAGGAAGAGTGTTTCAAACAAAAGTTGTACAATATTAACCCTCGAGTAGTATCGTTGGGTCACAGACAACTGTAGTAATTTAATATCATAAAAATTTAAGATATTTAATTTTATCTTGTATTTTAAATTCTCTGCGATTGAATTCGATAATGAAATCAAATTTATAAATAAGATTAAAGATTAAACTAAGTCTGATAAATCTTTAATCGCGATTATTGATCATATTCATATTGTACTTTAATTGTTAATCATAAATAAGTATTAAGGATTAAATTCATGGCGATTAACGATTAACGTTCTTTTCAATTTTAATCGTCAGTTATTTAATCTCACTAACGATCGAATTGTTGAAATTCTTTTTGCAGCACGTCTTCTTTCATTCAGCTGAAACCCAAAAACGCCATATATTTATGTCGCATACCTGACAACGAGAGGGCAAGATTTCGACCAACGCAGAAACAGGAGACTAACATCTAAACGTATCGTCGTTTGACCAGACGAATCAACGAAACTCGAATGTGAAGCGATGAAACGAATGATCGAAGAGATGAAAAGAAAGAGAACGAGAGAGAGAGAGAGAGAGAGAGAGAGAGAGATTTGGCTGCGGGTAACTGACCGTGCCGACAACATTGGCCGATCCGTGAGTCCGAGTTTCGTCCCTTTCTCGAATAGACAATAGCGCGTGGAGGGCAATTTGCCGAACGGTACGACTTCCATCCTAACAGCCACGGATCAGTGCCATTCGCTGTATTATTCACGGTCTATTAACTATTTATTACCTCTCGTAGACGAGCTCCACAGCCTGGTGAACGTCGGTGATGGACCTACCGATTCTGGTGGCCTCGGACCCGCTCGGAAGCTGCCACACCAGCTTGAAACCAGCCGCCGCAGCGAAGATCGCCGTGTAAGGCACCGACGGGATCTTGTAATTGATCCTGTACTGAAGGCAAAGACCGATCGGTTAATAGTAGTCACCATTCCGAGGAAGAAACCGCTGGCCGGCCAGAAGCAAGGCTGATAGAAGCGGTCACGGTCACGAGAAACGATCTCGCAACTTGATTGTTCGACCCTGATTGCACTGCACGGGACCGATGATACGTGATAGGAATGGAACGATTCCAGTGATCGATTTCGAGGTCTTCGTTACGGTTCGGAGTTGGAATAGGAGAGACTGGAACAGGCCAAGAGCTGAAACGGCCAGTATTTTTTTTTGTTTCCGTTAACAGAGACTCGAGTATTTTTTTTTTTTTTAGACTTGGTTATGTAATCTAGCAAACTTTCTGTTTCATCGTCTTTTGCCCACTTTCACGAATCGCAATTCGACACGTAAATCGTCACTGAAGTTTAATGTAACACTTCGCGATTTTAATTGTTACGATTTATAAAGCTTTTCTGTACATCTGTGCCATTTTTATTACTCCTTGAGTGCCTCTAACGCAGTAGAAACGTATTTTCATCATAAATACTTGAAATATTTACAGTGATTTACAGTTATTTTTGAAAAATTAGTATAGTTGTTTCAAAATAAGACAAATTATATTTTTTTATTCTTTAATACTGGGTCGGAAGTATACTATGTAATTTCACACGCATACTGCCATGAAATCACATAAAGAAAATCAATAAAAAGAAGTTGCATTACGCGACAAAAGCAACTTTGTGCTAGTGGCGACTGGAATATTTTAAATATTTGAACTGATAAGTCATGGTAAGTCATCATCAAATATCAAAGCATTGACTCATTCATAGGCCAAGATTGTATT